CAGTTAAAAAAAAAGTTTTGAAACCTGCTTTTGGAAGAATATGAAACTGATGAACTTGATGTCTGATAGATCAAGATCAAGAAATATGTACATACTTCTCCTGAAAGTTTTCAGGAGCAGTTTAAAAAAAAGTTGGTTTTAAATTTGTTTCAGCAGGTCTGAAAGTTTCTTGCTCGTGCTTTTCTTCTTCTTCTAGTGTTTAAGAACATCCTGGGAGATACTATTCTGATTGATGACCTGGACTCTGCAAATAACTACAGAACGGCGGTGGGTAACTTTGCTGAAGCAGATGTGCAATAGTTGCCTCCTTTTTTTTTTTACTAACAATGTGCCATAGCTGGTGTCTAATCTAAAACTGATTAGACTTTTATTAGTTCCAGTGGAGGAAGAAAAGGGAGACTGCTGTCAGAGAGTGAAACACACTGGCAATGTGAGGGGCCAAGAAAACTGATGATTCATCGATGATCTTTGCAGATTGTGTCCACTAGGCTCTCAAACCTGTCATATTGTGTGCTGGTTCTTTAATGGAACCACGGCAGAACTGGCTTTGCAGCAGCAGTGTTGCTGTATCGGTGGAAACTGGTTAATTTCCTCTAACAAAAAAAAGCTGTTGTTTACAGGTGTTGCAGAACAGGATCCAATGTCCCACCATACTGACCAGGCAGGGGGATAGGGTCAGTAGCAGGGGAAAGTTTGGAGGTGCACAGAACAGGGCCCCACCGATGACCACGTTACACATGTTTGGAGCCCCCCTCCCACAGCAGTACCACAGTCTAAAGGAACAAATAGGTGACTTAAATCATGGACATTTTACATTTTTAAAGCTTGATTTTGTAGCCTTAATGATTCAGATTATGCTGTAATTTCTGTTTTCTGGGGTGTGCTTGACAGACCTGCTCAGCCAGTACTGCTCAGCTGTATCGAAGAGAGAGGAAACAGAAAGGGCGCGAGATGATCACGTTAAAAAAATTACGTCTCCTGATGTGCGGCAAATGGAAAAAGATTTGGACGACAAAAAGAGGCAGCTAACAGAGATTGAAAAGGAACTCGGTATGTTGTTTGAGACAGTTGTTGATGATTTTATTTTGATTTTGTTGAATTTTAATTGATCTTTGTTCTTCTTCTAGCATCAGCATCAGCAAAAGGAATGAAACGACGCGCTGTGGATGGTGGTCAGCCCTCCAGCAGCATTTCAAAAAGAGCAAGACAGAGTTCCACATAAGAGATTCTGATTGGACCAATGGATTGTTTTACTATAAGTCTTTTTTGTAGTTTTATTTCTTTGTTAACTTTGAGTTGATACAATGTATTTTATCTTTTAGATGCCTTTTGTACATTTTAACACTTTTGTAATGGTAAAAAGTGCTTATGATCTTTGCAGAGCATGCTGAATCTGCTGAATGTATGCAGTAAAAAATTCTTAAGATCTCACTTTGTGTATTTGTTCGTTTCTTTTCTGAAAAACGCAAAACTGAAAACTTTACTTGTTAAGTTTAAGCATACCGACAGTGTTAAGCGCACATTTTACGCACGGAGATAATCACTGTGCCTTTGAAACAAAATCAACCATTATCCCCGGCCCCGGATAAGTGGAAGAAAATGGATGGATGGATAACTTTTAAAGGCAGCTTGCATAGGGGAGAGCTGTGTGTCATAATTTCTGGAATCTGAACAAATTTCAATGAACATTAAATCCCTGTGATGTTTATTTTTCACAATAACTAGTGAAATTATACATTAAAACAAAAACATTTTTTGGGTTGTCTTTTCATTTTGAAACTGGGGTTTTTGGAAAACTGGAATGTAATACTACCTGTCTCTAAAGCACTTTGCGTTATAGGCTATTAAAAAAATGTGATGTGACAGACCACACAAAAAGGTTTAGTCATTTTTCATAGTGAGTTTTCTTAAAAAAAAAAAAAAGCATTTATTTGTCACAGTTAATGGACTACATACTGAACTTTGGGGATAGAAACACAGTATCGATCCTATTGCGCTAGCATCGATCTGATGCCAATATTAAAGTTGGTATTGAAACTATCAATATTTGAATCGATACAACTTCTGCTGTCAACAGGTCGGCAAACGGTGTTAAGAGAAAAGAAAACAGTATGTCAGCATGTTCATCTCCAAAAGTTGATTCTGTTCATCTGGACGTAGCGCTACTCTCTGTGAATGGTACTCATGGCCATTGATCAGTCGGCTTTGATCAGTGGTTGTTGATCAATGGTCATGAGAATGTGCTTAATTATGATAAAGGAACTGAACTCCCAGCCCATTGTTCCCTCAGTGGGCTGGTTTCAGTCATTATGAAGCACTGTTTATAAGATTGGGGAAACCTGCAGTCAGCTGAGACTGAAGAAGTCACTTGGATGAGTGATGAAACATTTCTCCCACTGAAAACGCTACGTTCAGATGAACAGAATCAACTTTTGGAGATTTACTTACCTGGATGATTGAGCAGGCATCACCACAGGGTTACTGTGGATTAATTTTGATTAATGTGAGATTATTATACTATCTTATGCCAGCTTATACTTCTAATCGAAGAATTGTTGAATCATTATACAGCTATAGGCCACATTATGCCTTGTATTAAAGATTGTGAAATCATTACACTGTTTTATGATGCATTATACTGCTGAGTTATAAGAACTGCTGTTTGTGTAGAATCATGGCCTTTCTTTTCTTTCTTACAAAGAGAACAGAACATACTGTAGAGGTTTTCTGCCCCATCTCATCAGGAGGAGATAAAACAGGAAGCCAAGGCTGTCACTTAGGCGCTGTAAGATAGAAAGAATGTGAAGGTTTAGGCTTTATGGCCCTGAAGGGAGGGGGAAGAAGCTATAAGAGTCTGTGTAACTGTTAGACACTTCGAGATGTTGCCAGACACCCTCCTGTGCACATCTCCCATCCGGACGTCTGTAATGCTCAAAGTGTTGTATGGAATAAGGAGATTGTTGATTGAGCATTTATACACCGAGTGTTGTTCTTCCTTCAGCCCAAAGATGAAAGAATTGGGGTATTTAACATTAATCATGATTAAATATTATTCATTTTTATTCTATATTAATCACATTTCATTTTTGCATGAGCAAACAGACTGGAGAAAAAAGGGAAAATATACGCACTTAACATGTTTATTGAACAGCTTGAACATTCATATTAACAAAAATCTCTGTAAACATTTATCCACTCTCTCTCTGTCACTCTTGAGGAGGCACTTCAAGTCCTTGAAACGAGCAACCAAAGCTATGTAAAGCGCATGTTCACAACGATATTAATAGGTCTGCAGTTTGTTGTAATCTACTTGGCAATTGTGTCAGTCAATATTTCCTAGGGCAGGACAAAGAAACTGGCTCTAAAACACACAGAGTTTAAAAGATGGCTGCAGCCACGCTTTGATTTGTGTAAAATCCAGTTATTGAGCTTTGATCTGTGGGATTTTCATGTTGCCATTTTAGGGATTTGAAACCAGGTATGACAAGTGAGAGGTTAATCTGACTGTGAAACCGCATGGCCATTGGTTAACAACTTGTTATTTAATGAGCATATCCTTGATAATCTTCCTTTGTCATAATGACCAAAATGTTTAAGTTAATTGGTTAATATTTTTTGACAAAAAATAGTTTCGTCAAAATTGTTTGTTTTCTATCAGTTCATGCACCAAAAGTAAGTCAGGTCCCATATAATCCCACGTTGTACAAAACCTTAAATGCCCAACTTTACCAGGTAAATAGGCACTTTAACAACATAATATAAAAACTGGCTTTGGTCACTATAGTTAATGGCTACCATACTTGGCAATACTCAACATGTACCTGCACCATCGATTCATCCCATCTTCAAAATCAGCACTTCACCCTCTTATTCAAATATGCAAATATCCAAATATGTTCACTTCTATTTTTAAATTCAATCTATTAAAATATTAAGATCCACAAAACAGGACATTACAAATAAATGGATGATGCCACTGTGACATACAGTGTAAGGAATACACTAATGTGCCCGTGTGTGTTAAAGACACGAAGGCAGAGAACTTAACATGGTGATGTATACGTAATCCTGCAGAAGACACGGTCTGGCTTCATTAGTTGTGATGTGCACGCTGCTGCAGTGGCCATAACTCATCCTGATCTGTCTCAAAGCCAGCGGCGTTCATCCAAATGCAGACACCAACAAACTCATTAGAGAGTCAACAGGAAAAGGCAGGTTAGCTGGTTAGAAGTGTGACATGGGATGAGTTCATGGGAAGCTGGGTTCAAAACAGCTGCACTGAAAAGCACTTTCATCTCTCCAGCTGCCTCATCAGACTTGTGTTTCGCTACCTTAAAAATGCACACAGACCAAAAAAAAGAAATCAAAGGTCCCACATGCATGACGAGCACAGATCAAAAGAAACTGGTAGAGAAAGATTTTGGCGCTGAATCACTGTTAAATACAAACTAAATTACTGAGCTAACAGGTGTCAGAGGTCAGTCACAGGCTCACAGTGGAGGGACACCGGTCAGGAGGTCAGGTTTTCCCAGGTGAATCGAACCCTTGTGCTTGTTTTTCTTTGGCTGTGCAGTCATCCTCAGCTTCTGCTTTTTCATCTACAGGTGTCAAATTGAAATAGCTAACGTGCTGGAATTTGAGCACTTCATTGCCCCAGCTGGTCCATCCTGGTTGAAGACTTCTTGCAAACAGCTCCAAGCACTTGGCGTCAGCTCCAATGTATGGCTTCAGTACCTCTGTGAAGGGAAAGCAATGAGGGAGAGTTATTATTGCATATTATAAGGCTTTCAGTGTCTGCCCTGTTATTTACAGTCCTCACTGTGCAAACTGGAAAATACTCCTTTCATATTTCACCTGGAGATCTAACAAACCTGAAGTTTCACACCTATGATGTGAAACCTAAACTAAACAATCTCACCTACCAAAATTACAAAAGACAACACACAACTTTAATGTCAGCTGAAATACGTCAAAACACACTCACACGGCAACTTCTACCA